CAATAAAATTGATTCATGTTTGTGGCTGTAATGTGACAAAATGTGGAAAAGTTCAAGGGGGCGAATACTTTTGCAAGCCACTGTAAATTCAGCTAACTGCTATCATTTCATGAGTAAAGCTGCTCAGATGATTGAATTGCGATTTTTGTTTTTCGACTCAATAGCCCACATTTTGATTTCGTTTTGCATGTTGCTGATTTCACACAGATCCACTGCTGAAACGTGCCTTTGGGTTTTTCATCATTTAACAAGAATAGGCTCAGGCAATCATTGTGTAATTAGACTTAGCGTATGTGACAGTACATGGCACAAAATGAACAAGAAGCTTTCATGTATCTAAATGCAGATTTTAGTCCCAAATTTTGTTGACCATAATGAAAATATATACTCTTTGGTATATATTAACCACTGGATGTCAAATAATATATACAAAAGAAAACATTCTGAATCACATTTAGTGTTACAGTTTAGAGCACCACAATAGGATATCCACAATTTAGGATACAGACATTTGTTTTAGTTCAACATCGCAATCATTCTGCGATTGAGTAGTTTACAGAACCAGCAGTTAGCAGCAATAACTTCAGCTGCTTCAATTCATTGACATTTGCAAGCCTACCTTTATACACAGCATTTCTGTCAGGTTGAGGTCTGGGCTTCCATGCTGTAGATTTGCTGCTGTACCCGGGGTCATTATCCTGTTGCATGACCTGATTTAGGAGAAGCTTTAGCTGTCGGACAGATGGCCTGACATTTGACTCTAGAAAACTTTGGCATACAGAGGAGTTTGTCGACTGCAAGGTGCCTATCTCTTGTGGCTGGAGAACAAGCTTAAATCACCACCCTCAAATCAGCATGCTTGATAGCTGGATTGAGGTGTTTATGCTGTGTTTGATTTTTGCTGAAGGTACTGCTGTGCATGATGGCCAAACCGTCGCTTTGGTCTCATTTGTTAAAAAGACGTTGCTGTAGAAGTCTTCTTCAAGGGCAAATTTGCAGCCGAGTTGTTGTGTTCTTTTAAGAGAAGAAGCTTTCTCCTGGCGGCCCCTCCAAACAAGCCATACTTCTTTGGTCTTTTTCTAATTATACTGTCATGAATGTTAACATTTAACATGCTGTCTGAGGCCTGTAGAGGCTCAGATGCAGCTCTTGGATATAGTGCACTTTCTCTGAGCACTGAACAGTCTTTGGGGTGGATCTGAATGCTGCAGACTAGCAAACTTGCTGCCTCCACCATGTTTTATAGACAGCTATAGACACTCACTGCTGTAGCGCTCTCCTGACCTCCTCTGCATATGATGATGATGATTTAGACTAAATTTGGAGTCATCAGTTCATCAAACCTTTTGCCCCTGATTTGCAGTCCAGGTCATGAGTAACTTGGCATACCTCAGCTTCTTTCTCTTGCTTTGCATTCTTTAACACGATCCCTGCTAATGCTAACATGTTCCAGCAGTCTGTGTTTTCCCATCAAGCAATAGTGTTAAACTTTGAGTTTTTGTTCTTTCATTTGAGATATATACGTATTCAGTCGTTGGTTGACACACCATTTAGTCACTGATAGGCTGATACAATAACATTGCTTTATGATTTCTTGTTAAGATTTGCTTATTAATAGAAAAATTAGGCACTATGGCAGTATAATAGTACCACTAATATTAATATATATAGAGAGAGAGTCTGGATGGCATTACCTTGACAGCTATAAGAATCGATTATTCTTGACCAGGAACATTTTCTTTAACAAGCAAACTAAGAATGCCCTCTTTCCTCTGCCAAGTAAATCAGAGACATACTGAAGCTTCTAGGATGCACTATTGATTGGAATTACTTATTATAAGGCTATTCTAAAAGCTTCCTGAAAAGCCTTCAGCTGATGAAAATCAAGAGATCATATATGTCCACAGTAGATAGTCTTTTTAATGGCTGTAAAATCCACAGTTGGCAAACCCTTGATGATCAAGTCATATCATAATATCACTGCAAACCCACCAAATCAACGTAACAAACCAACGACCGAAATAGTTCTGTTAGAGATCTCTTGCTGTCAAAATGAAGTTCTTTCTTCCTCCCTGTCACCAAGTGTTTGCTCATACAGCCTCATTTGATTGTCAGGATCCTCTCACTAATGTCTTTAGCTTATAACAAAACGCACTTTGAGATGACCATTCCTGTGAAACAGCTCTACATAAGTAAAACTGAACTGACCTGGACGTGTAACATTAATAAGGAGTGGTTTGCTTGCTCCAACTCCTGCCTCATCTCAGCATCCTTGGCACTCTGCTGATCCTTCTGCAGTTTCCTGATGTAGTCTACAGAAGCCTTGAGAATGGTGCCTTTATTCCAGCGCATCTCTCTGTCATTGTTGCGATGTCAGTAAAGATAAGAAGGACAATTCAATTCAATTCAATTCAATTTTATTTATATAGCGCCAAATCACAACATAAGTCGCCTCCAGGCGCTTCATAGATACAGAGAAAAACCCAACAATCATATGGCCCCCTATGAGCAAGCACTTTGGCGACCGTGGGAAGGAAAAACTCCCTTTTAACAGGAAGAAACCTCCGGCAGAACCAGGCTCAGGGAGGGGCGG